TAGGCAATGACGGGTCCCACATCTCGACGTTTTTTACGAAAAGTGATGACAACTCATCTAAAAGTGATTTTGGCAATAATTGTGACGTTTGTGTAGGCTTTGGCCGACAATACATACTTATTTATTTAATTTAATTCCTATTCTACTAACTTTTACAACATATATCGAAAGTATACTTATTTATGAAGGCGTTCGCCCCTATTCTCTAATACACTATACCTTCGACAAATATTTTTTGCCCAAAATAAATCTTGTGCTAATTTCTGTCGCTCTCAGTTGCCGGAAGGAACACATGTCATCACATTTAATAACAGAGTAGGAATCGGTTTCCATCACTGTAATCAGTTATTTTAAGCATATTTATGGGAACCAACTTACTTCAACTAGGCTTGTATAAAGATAGACGATGTGATTATTGCAAGTTTCAACATCTTTAAGCATTCAGTGAATTTTAGCATTGGTTAGGTTACCAGAAGAGCAAAAACTCGTCGAATAGGTTATTTGAGCCCGATTTTTTGTCTTTTCGAACTAATTGATTCAAGGTCAAAATTGCCTTTTCAACAGATGCGGCCTCTAACCTTTCCTGAATACTAAAGTTTATAATCAGTGACATAATCTATATTCACCGTTCAACTTTCCTTAGGTACCCATTTGTGTATTCTATGGTTAAAAACGAAGGCTTTTTATCTTTTCATTATGGAAGCACAACGTTGGAGTGTTTGTAATTAATGGAAAATGAGTGATCAGTATGGGAGCCAATAACCGTACATTGATCGAAATGATTACTTTCATAAAATTTAATGAACTTCGTTCCGGGTACCGAAAATATTCGTTTTTCTTGCCGCCTAGCTTCAAGGCTGGCATGACCTTGTTTCTGGTTTATTTGAGTTATCTTATGACTCAATTACCAAAATTTTTGGACACTGTGTATTTAATCCCTTTTCCCCTTTATAGTTTCTCTGTCATTAGGAGTTTCGGGGTCTGCAACACCCCTTACAACTCCCAATGACCTTCAATCGAATAACGAATCACCATCCTTCCATGGGCTCCAATCAACACTACCATCTGGTCATCATGGTGTTCAACAAAATATGGAAAATATTGATTCAAATACCATGCTTCCTATACCAGTGGTAAGTACAGATGATAGTATGTTTTGTTTGGTGAGTAATTAGTATATCCAATTAGATTGTCCGAGATTTACCTTAATTTGATTGTGTATTATTACGTTACTAGAATTGAAACGTGATTTAAACAGGGTTTATTGAAAAACTGAATGTTTCCTTATGCCTATCAAATGTATCAAACAAAGACAATTGTTTAGTAGTTTTAATCATAGGATAACCATGGAATAAAAAGATGTTAAGTATTTGGTAGGCGTTGAAACGACCAAAAGTGCGTATCGAATATAGATACCAAGAATTTCACTTTATTTGATCAATTCTCGTGATTTGATTTCTGGCTCTTTGGTGTTTCATTTCTCCAATAATCAAGGTTTACCTGACTGATCAAGCCGCTAAAATTACGTTTCATTTATTTGCGAACATGAACGCCACTTTCAACAGAACAAGAGACCTCTCTAAGTGAATTAAAAGCTAAATTTTAATCGAATGGATTACCCGACATACATTGTACAGAAAGTGGAGCTTAGTCGGAAATTGAAATGCGTAAAAACAAGCAGTCATAAATCGGCTCGTGCGTCTAGTCTGAAATTGATTTTCTTGCTTGCCCGACTAGATAGATAGATAGATAGAGAGATACAGTCAGATACCAGAGGTTTCACCCACGCAATGTTTACCTACCTAAAGCAACAGGAACACTCCGATATAATAATAGGCAAAACCTTTGTCTGGAAATGGTGCCTTTTCGGCATTATTTTTGTGTAACAGGCCCCAGCGAGTTGGGTTCAAAGTTGCTTTAAGCGAACTTTACTATTGCATTCGATATGGGGGTGTGCGATAGACTTACCTCCACGTGGTGCACCCTGGGCAACGTATACTCATACGGCAAAAAGTCTATTAACCGGCAGTTGACTTCTCACTTCAAACAACCATCACACCCACTGTATGTCATATTCGCCCCCAATCACAGTACTCATCTTACCCTTCCTGAGCCTTTGTGTATGTTTGCCTCTTTTACGTCCGTGAATCGCTCTTCTATTCCCCCTCCCGAGATCTTCTCACTTTGATGTTCCTCCTCCTCCCCTCTGTGAAGCTTGAAGTCAAGTAAAGGGCTAATGATAACCACCAAAACGCCCCCCCCCCATTTGTTATAAATAAATAAATAAATAAATACGATGTGCCTAAGTTGCACGTTTAACGAATCAGGGCTACAAAAGTGGCAGTGACAATCAAATAACACCCCACTCCCTCTTCCCCACGCACATTATATAACACCAGATCCTGACTGCCTAAACCAATGCTGCGTGGACGCCGATTTCGAGGCATCTAGCTCAGGCTCCAAATCGATTAATAGTGCCCCTCTGCATGAAGGCCCACCGAGGGAATTTTACTCCGTCTTCGATACAAAGAAGGTGAATAATCCAATACCTCAAAATATCAGGTCAAGCGAGATTTATCATTCACTAACTTAATTACGTACCAGCATTAGACCCCCTAATTTCACCTCCAACAGAACTACTTTAATATTACCATATGATTAAAGTACGTAGAAAGTTGCCGTAATTGAAACACAACTCCGATTTTTGCTGAGTAAAGCGGACTTCTAAGGCTACTGCCTCATAATGATGCCACAGTTCATCGTACATGTTAATGATGCCTTGACCAGATAGATGTGTGTCATTTACCATCTAAATATCTTCCAAAATTGATCTTCATTTTAATAAACCCTAGAAGGCTCATGTCCACGTTCAATAACTAAAGTCCTTGAACAATAATTCTGAAAGGAAATCATGAAATTCTTGGAATTATTCCCACCGAATGTACTTACAAACACAATTTAGACAAAGCAAATTGTCGAAGGCAGTTTCAAGTAAGCAAATCGTCAGCTTCAGCTTCATTTTCATGGTCGGATAAAAGAGCGCGTTCATAGTTATCTGATGACGGGGACCAACGAAGGCAAAATCTCAGCACAAAAAGGAAGGTCAGCAATCCGAAGGATATAACAAGCACAGATCCTACCATGAAGATCATCACCCAGACAAGAACTGACAGTCCCACAGTCGGTGGTGAACCGAGGCCCAGATCCAAGGACCTGAGAAACCAACAGAAAGACCAAATAGTAATAGTAGTCATAATGATGTTAGGGAGAGGTTTGAAACCATGGTAGTGAAGTACAGAAGGACTTACGCCACAACTTATAAACTTCATATCGACTTGCCCTAATCACGTGCGGCTCCTGAAACATTAACTTAGGAACAGTGGTCTCTGCAATCTAATTAGAAGCGATGGGAAGGTGTACATAAGCAACGCTCACAACCTTCACGTTCATCGTGCACCTCATTATCGAATATTCGTCTTCTATGTTCCAACCTGGAAATGTGTACCTATGATTGATACAATGATTGGAAACAGCGATGTCAGCCAATTCTCACGCATCCCATTCTACTCAAAATAATTTAATTTCACATTAACAAAAGCGCTATTTGAGCGACAGGTCATATGCATCCTCTTGGATTCGAGCAATTATGAACAATGTGCTACCGCCGTTCACTCTAGTTCCCTCTAAATCTGACTATTACAGCGACGATTACACTGGGCCGTGGTTTTCGTAAACTAAGACTAGAATCAATAAGCAGTAACCTCATTGCCTCTAACAAGTTTCCCTTGAGGTTACCTGGCTGCCAGGCAATATTTTTGGTGGGGAGGTAGGGATGGGAAGGAGTTGCTTTTGGGTATTCACTTTTGACACCAAAATAACTGCAGAAATTCATTCGAAATGTGGGATTTGTACTTAATAACGTTATGCTTCAAGATTGTTGAGAGATTTTTAACCAGGAATCTTCCCCTCCAGCCAAGCATATACAAAGTGTAGAAGGCATCGGCTTACAAGAGCAAAGGTTGGTATTCATGTGAATTCTCTTGACCTCATTCACTTCTAACTCGTGTGAATGCAAAAGAAGTAAACGAATCGAAAATGAGAAAAAAGGCAACGTAT